ATTCATTCGTTCCTTCATTTGTTTCAGGAGTGTGAAGATCTGCCCGTGAATCTCAGAGACTCTGTGCCAAGTCTTTCCTTGTGCAGGACTGATTTGGAAAATATTTACATGGCAGCTTTCCAAGCTAGATAAGGTCTGTGGTCATAAATTCACCTTTGAAAGACTGTTTACCAGGCCTTTGCTGAATGTGGATGAAAGGAATTCACATTCGTTTAATAAAAGGGGTTTTGTTGTTAGCAAGTATACAAATGATAGTACTAATCTATCTTAAAATACTTATTTATACAATTATACATAATTGTATAAATTATGTGATCATTTATAGAAAATAATAATAAGATATAGTTATTGAAAGTGTAAGCTTCTGAATATTTCTCTTTAAGGTATCATCTGTGAAAAACAATGGGCAGACAAATGAGTATCCAATTGTAGAAGGAAGAAAGGAAGCACTTTGAAAGGTTAATTCAGGCTAGGCCACCTAAGATCCTTCAAAGGATCTTGAGGATGAGACAGTCCTAAACTGACTCTTTTTGACTCTACCCTTTCCAGACTCATGTGTAAGAAGAAAGCTAGGATGGTTGTTCTTTCTTTGATTCTGATAAAAATTGTTGAGAGATACCCTCTAGTTCAGTGAGTTGTGCTCTACCCAGCTGGAGAGGGGGTTTGCCGGGCAGCTGCTCATGAACATGGTCACCTCATGGCTGCTTCCCTGATGCTGTGCCGGGCTCTTTGGGAGCCCGCTTGCAAGGAAGTGGCCGCCCGGCAACTCCCCTCTCCAGCCAGGCAGAACGCCACTCCTCAACCTAGCGGTATCCCAAAGGCGGCAAGCAATGTGAGCGCCTTCCCCCCCCCCCGGTTCCCGGCTTGGCGCCTTCAGAATACCACTAGGTCGGTGAGCGATGCTATGCCTGGCCGGAGGGGGGGGGTTGTCCAGGGGGCTTATTTTCGGGGGTGGGCTTATATTTTTGCCCACGTGAAAAATGTGGCAAGGCATTAGTTTAAGGACAGGTCGTATTTTCGGGGAAACACAGTAGTTCTGGGTGCACAACTCCAGCTAGCAGCTGCTCTGTAAGAGCTCAGCAAGCTATCTTCCCCAGCTTGCTACCAAATCATTTTTAACTGGAATTGCCAGTGGCCAAACCTAAAACCTTCTGCATATGGAACAGTAATTTTCTACTGTCCTTTCAATATTACGGATAGAAAGATGAGACATAAATAAATGAACTAAAAGCAATCACATGCCAACACACTATTCTCACAGGTCTTCCAAGGGAACATCCAGAGAGTTACCATTCCTTCATGTGGAATAACTTCTTCAAGCATATTGACATCTCTCCTGAAAACACTCATATTCTGGATGGGAATGCAGCCGACTTGCAGGCAGAGTGCGGTGCCTTTGAAGACAAAATAAAAGCAGCTGGAGGAATAGAACTCTTTGTTGGGGGTGAGTATTTAAAGGTATTGGAAGCAGGAGTGAAGTTATAGGGGGGAAGATTCATCACAGCTTTCAGACTACTTCAAAACACCCAATTTTCAAGGGAGATATTTTTGATGCTGCAAATCAGACTAGTGATATACTTCAAGGTGATACAAAACAAGACTTTGTGAACAGACTTGTGGTCATCTTTCAAGCTAAGTTAATCTCTAATGTTTCTCAAAATTACACTCAAAAAGGAAAACAAGAATAATAATGATAGATGGAACTGGATTGTTTTAAAAATTGAACATATAAATGGTCTTTTTCAAATGATGATGCAGGCACAAATAGATAAGGCCCTAATACCGATGCCATTTGTGGGAAGACTTCTTACAGAAATCGTTGTAGTGACAGAGGTGTTATGCTGGCATCAGGGAGATCTATCTGAAAATTCACCTGTGATCTTGGAGGTTCACTGGTTGACTCTCACCACAATTTGCTTCTCGGGGTTTTGAGCAAAAATATATATATAAAAAAGGGGGGTTACTTTCCCTACTGTCTCGAACTCCAGAATAAAAGGCAAGATGTAAAATTAATGAGATGTTATGTGACATCAGGGAAGATGAACATTTTTTTATTGGCCATGAGACTAAATTTTAATGAGGCAGCAAATTGAAATATTGCATATCGGTATAAAAGTCCTTTTGTGAGTCATTTTGCTGGTAGGTTGAATATCTGGAAAGGTTCTGTGATTAGCAGCTTAACCCTGAATTTGGAAATCCATTTGTCTGGGGAGGGGCATTTATTGATGAACTATAAGCTTAGCTCCATAGTGCTAGAGCAGTCAGAGTTAACATTGATCTGCATCATTAGTTCTAGTCCTCTTTCCAGAAATGTTGCTAATTCCTGTAAGAGAATGTTCTCGTTTCAGATGTTTGGCAGTATGTAAACGTTTCGACAATTACTGTCTGTATTAGGGCCTAAAGAAACATTCACAACCATCTGTTTAAATGATGCACTTATTATTTTTGAAATACTTAACCCTGAGGCATATTTACTGTTCAGCAGTTATCAATCAATTATAATAATTATTTCAATTATTTCCCCTACAGGTATTGGTCCAGATGGTCATATTGCCTTCAATGAACCAGGGTCAAGTTTGGTATCTAGAACTAGAGTGAAGACATTAGCTATGGACACAATATTGGCTAATGCTAGATTCTTTGAAGGTGACCTTTCCAAAGTGCCCACAATGGCTCTCACAGTTGGAGTGGGTACAGTCATGGATGCCAAAGAGGTTAGAAGCATAATAAATACTTCCAGATAAGAGATAGAGGGGGATATGGAACAAGAAGTTTGTCTGAAAAGAAGAATTCTAGGTTACTCAGTATTCTATAACAGTGGTCTCCAACCTTGGCAACTTTAAAACTTGTGGACTTCAACTCCCAGAGTTCCTCAGCCAGCTCTGGGAGTTGAAATCCACAGGTCTTAAAGTTGCCAAGGTTGGAGACCACTGTTATAGAATACTGGACTTGGAAGATATCATGGTGGCCATGAAGTCCAATTCCTTTTCAGAACAGGAATCAAAATTAAACTATCCCCTATAATTTACTGTGCAGCCCTACTTGAGAAAATCCAGCAAAATGGACCTCATTTCAATAATACACTGTAATTCATCTATAATATGAAATTGCTATTACTGGGAAGTTTTTTTTTTTACATTTGTAACCACAACCTATCTTCCTAAAACCGGAATCCTTAATTCTCTTCTTTTTTTGCATTCCTGGAAAATTGAGAATCTTTTATCTTTCATGTAATATCCTTCCAAGTATTTGAAGAATGCTATTATATGGCCCCATTGGTCATCTTCTCAAGGTCTGCATTTCCATTTCTTTTTATCTTTCTACATAGGACTTTTTAATCTCCTAATAATCCTCACTGCTCTTTAAATCTGTTGCAGTTTGTTGGAATGTGGGTTGGTACTTAAATTGGAGCTGTATTTATTTCAAAACAAATCCATGTTTTTTCCTATTTAGGTATAGATCATGTGTTGTGTTAAAGAGCTGACCAGCGTCTACACATGCATGTTAACATTGAGCATGACGGAGAATTTAGAGAGGGAAGTTCCTTTGGGCCCCTTTTCTCTGATATTTGTAGTGGAGAATACAAACTGACCATATGCCTAGTGATGACTGTAAATGAAATGCTTTTCTGATATTTCCAAACTTATGCCTTGTTTGTTTTATTGGAAGTTTTGTTTTCTGTTGCATAATAAATAAGTTAAGTCTATGGAAGACAACAAACTTACCAAACATAATAGTACTTGACTAGAACGCAAAGACTCTGAATGGAATTTTACAATTTTACAAAATTCTAAATAAAAAGCTAAGTATATACTGTAAAATATTAATTCGTGATAGTATTATGAAGCTATTGTATGTAGTCAGTTAATACACTGACACCATTTTTGGAACCTTGGAAATAAAGCAGGGATTTTGCAGACCTCTTAAAAGTCTTCTGAAATCATTGCTTATAGCTCAGTGCATTATCATTGTTGATAGGTAAAGATAAGAGAATTGATACTCATCCTGATTTTTTTCTACATGCCATCCATTTTTACTGAACTGATCAACTATAACTAGTTTGGTAAGTCTGCTAGGCAAATAAATTCACCAACTTCTAGTTCACCAATGTTTATTACCGTGTTTCCCGAAAATAAGACAGGGTCTTATTTTTTTTGACCCCTGAAATAAATGCTTGGTCTTATTTTCAGGGAGGTTTTATTATTTTTGAGGTGCAGAAGGCGATGAGTGTGGTCACCACATGGCTGCTGCTGTGTTGCAATATTTTTAGGGAGGGCTTATTATTCGTGGAGGTCTTATTTTCAGGGAAACAGGGTAGTCCATCTGTTCTTGCATAGTAACACAAAACTCTTGGAGAAATGTCTTTCTGCTTAAAGGACGCAGTATCTGTACAATTCAGCTCTTACTAGAACTACAGATTATAAACTGATATAATTAAAAGCAAGCTGTCCTTTTACAAGCTTGCTATAAAACATGGAGCTCTCTTTGTTTTTTGTCTTAATTTTCCTCTCAGATTTTTTGTAAAATAGAATTCTATATAGCTCTAATGGTTACATCTTCTCCCTTTTATTTTCTTGGAAAAAGTTCTCATATGTTGGTAAAATTTCTTGCCGATATTTGTGGCCTATACCATCTAGTTCTCCTTTTTCCCAACTTGAAATACATGCATACCAGTAGTTGAGGATAGCAAGGACCATTTAGTATTTATGATGCTTTTCATTAAAAGCTTAATTGTGTTCCTGTATGTCTTGTCATTCAGGTTATGATTCTGATCACAGGAGCCCATAAAGCATTTGCATTATACAAAGCAATTGAAGAAGGGGTGAACCACATGTGGACTGTTTCTGCGTTTCAGCAACATCCCCGAACCATATTTATATGCGACGATGATGCTACTCTGGAGCTTAAAGTAAAAACTGTGAAGTATTTTCAAGGTAGATTGTTGTCCAAATCTCAGAAATAATCTATGAATGTCTAGAATATAAGCAGGCATTAACACACCAGTAATGTTTGGCAATTCACCTTTACAAATCATGTTGCAAAAATCATCCATGAAGCTGGTACCTCTTTTGGCGGCAGTTAAAATGTATCAGGAGCTGCAAATACAATTTGGGACTGTCATGCGTTAACTACAAGGAGTACCTTGGGAGATTTTAACTTGTAACACAAACTTGTCTTATTGGTTTCTCCACTATTTCTTAGCATTTTCGTATTGAAAAGCTTCCCACAAGGCTGTAGGTACATTTGGCTCATTTAGATTAACACTTTTAGTGTTGCCCTTTCGTCTTACCCTTTTTGAAAATCAGATTACTTTCTCAACCTGCTGATTTTTGCCATTTTAAGTGAAATGTTTGTATCTTTTACCCACCCATACCCTACAAGCATGTCTTCTCTTTAAATTTCCTTGAGCCAGAATCCAGTTGAAGGGAAGCTTTAAATAGATAAAGGAATGTGTAAAAACAGCACCAAGAACCTAAGTCATGCATAAATGCATAAAAAAGGAACAAAGGGCTATTTGTGCCACCTCTCTAGTATTGTGGTGTATAACAAGTAGAGATGTTGGTGAAAGTTCCACTGAACCACCACAATCATCCTCTTGGGGTTCACCAACAATGAACAATTAAATATTTGCAGGAAGTTACAAACAGGTATGATGGTACCAGCTTTCTAAACGTATTGCTGGCTTCACATATCATGTTAAAGCCCTGCTTTTCTTAGCCAGCACATTAACAGTCATCTTTACAGTTAATGAAGGAGCTTGCAGGTAGCTGTTTATAAAATAGTCTCCTCAATCAAGATCAGCTTCAGAACCAAACTTTAAAACACTGTTGTTTTCAAGATCCACTTCACTTCATTTTTCTATTAGCAATGGAAGAGGTGTGTGTGTTTTGTTATACGCTTTGGAGTATTAAACAATGGGTATGAGGCATGACATGGAGATTCTCCCATCTAAATGACTCTGTATAGTTTGATTATTTTAGATTTGTATCTTGCTTTTTTATTCCTCAAATAGGAACCTTCATAAGGGAGTCTGGGACATACCAGGAGACTTAAAAGTAATCCAGAACATTTCCATGACTGAGGGAGTTGTTGAACTTGAGCCTATTCAGTCCTAGTCGCATATCTTATCCATTTCTCCACATTGGTGCTTTATCTTAGAATATAAGGATTGCATTTTCCTGTTCTAGACACAACATTCAAAAATATAAGAGGAAAAGAATTAAAAGCAGAGAATGTTGGAGTGATATCAGTCTGCATCCAGAAAGAAAACAGTCATCCTTTCGTGTCAAACAGAATCAGCATTGGGACACATAAAGCAAAGGCAGACGAAAAAAAGCTATTTTTAAAAATAATAATAAATTTAAAAAAACATTGGGGAAATTGCTGTGCCTGATCTGGCTGCATTCTCTCTCCAGGGTGCTTACTTTTTAAGAAACCAAGTTTTGCTTTTACTAATTTAGTGTGAAAATGAAAGCAATAAACAAAGAAGTTAAAAAAAAAAAACAAGAATGCATATTTACAGAGACATACCCATATCCTCTGAATTGAGGCTATATCTTAAAAATATACAGGCAAAAAGCTTAATTTCTTTATTATTTTGGCTCTCTGTACTTCAGTCCAGTATCTCTTGTATCTTTGTACAAGCTCCATGACTGTATGTACTCCATGTTGTTTGCATATCAAATGTATCAATATTTTTTTTTTCTAATCTTGAGATTTTTTCATGAGGAATTTTTGATGCTTGATAAATCTTGAAGCCTGTGGACTCTGCAATAGATAAAGTGTGCTGCTTTGTGGTCTTCTGAATTGGTTTTATATTTACAAGGTTAATATTCTAACTTTTAAGATGATTTTATATTGGGAGGGGGAGTTGTTTAGCAAAGTTTTATTTTTCTGTATCTCATTAGATTGTCCTATGTCTGATATTTCTAATCACATGTCTCTGTTTTCTATAACTGGTGCTTTGCTGTAGCAATGCTTTCATTATTTCATTTTTATATACCAGAAATACAGCCAGCTGTGAGAATCCCTTCTCCCAGTGCACACGCTTTCATATACACACAAAGTTAAGGGTAGGATACCAGGTTAAACATCTGCTTGGAAGACAGGTGGTGGTAGGAGGTACTATAAAATTACTATTGATACCAAATACATTACGCAAGGCAGTATAGGGACCCAGAGGGTTTGGGGAGAAAAGTTTGAAGTCTCCAGCTCACTACGCCACAGATTCAAATATACTTGGTACAAGTGTAAGTTATTACTTGATAAAATATGACATTTACATAAGAATTGAACTATTTTTGTTTCCTTTAACCAGGGTTGATGCTTGTTCACAACAAACTCGTAGAACCACTCTACAGCATGAAAGAAGTTACAGCAGAAAGTCAATCTGAAAAAGCCTACAGTGACTAGCTTCTCTGAGCAACCGGCTAGATCTTTCTGGCACCATTGCAAGAAGTTGGTGGAGAGCAGTCTTTCAATATACAATATACATTATTGGACTCAATTATTGAAAAGCATCTTTTTTTTCTACCAGGTGCAAGAGTAGGAGTGGATGCAACTGCATCAAGCAATGTCAAGTAACTCAGGACTAATTACACATCAGTTTCCTACGGTTTTAAGAACATAGACCAAATGAAGTAATGGCAACCTCATTTTCTTTTCTTTTTTTAATGGTTTAAAGAGTTTCTGGGATGGGAATGTTAACATTAGAATCCTAATTGTGTAGAAAGAAATCTGCAGGATATAGACTTTTCATTACTTTTTGCATATTAAACGTATAAACGTTTATGAACAATTTGGGGCATATTTGTTAAAAATTGGAATTTCATGAAAACGCAGCCTTTTGAGGAACGGGGGCAGGGGGAGGCGACAAATGAAAAGCACTCTTTCAGACCTTCTACTGGACCTCAATTCTTAATGCAGAAATATCAGACTTTTCTAAAGAGGTACAATTATGTAATGTGGGGAAGCATCAACTCTCAGCTCTTCTTCTTCATTATTATCCAAGTCATCGTTTCCCAATCTGATTGACTTTTGCTAGGAATTCTGTGAATTGTAATTCAATCTGGAAGGTATTAAAAGTGGGAAACTTCTAAGAGTGCAGGAAAACATACTTCTCTATTCTCTTAAGTGGCCAGCAGAACAATTATTGGCATTTATGCCGGCCTTAGGAGGAAAAAATCATTTGCTTCCAGTTTGTAGTAGAAGTTGAAGTGCTAACTTTTATCTATAAAAACTCAAAAGCCGGTAGGAATATTTTATTTTCAACTTCTATATATAACCATAGAGTTCGTGCTTAACACATTGTAGATAGGAAGAGCAGACATCTTCATGTCACCTTGGCCCAGAAGTATTTCTTCCTGATCTCTTCTGGACAAGCATTATTTATTTATTTATTTATTTGCAAATTTGAATGGAGCAAACAACTTATCAACCAGAGATATGATCATACAATGGACTGACCTGCCAACAGGTTCCAGCAGTAGTTTATTTTGTGAAAACTGAAGGATAGATACAAAATTACTGTTATGGCTAAAGGCAACCATTTGCAGATATCTATTATTTATCAGACAAACTAATTAAGGCCAGAAGACCAGCATTTTGCCCACAAATGCAATAGGGTGCTGTAGAAGCCTCAAAGTACAGGCCTATTATTTGAACCTACTGTCATCGTCTTCTTTATTAAATCTTGATTTTTAAAATCCATTTTCCATCCATGTCAGGATAAGCCATATCCAAGAGACTCTCAGGTTGCATCATTCTCCATGCTAACAGGATAAAGTGTTAAGAATTGTAGGACCTGAAGAAATCACAGGTTTTTTAACCTTATACTTTGCTCCTTGGACAAGGACAGCAAACAACTGCTTACATTCCACTGCTGTTGTTCTTGGAACAGTTTTAGTCATAATAGTGCTAACTTGAAAAAGGAGCACATTGTGAAATTTTAATGTGCTTGTTTAAATGTTCAGTGCTTTTGAAAATTAAATTAAAAGATAACATCCATGAAATTAGTGGTAGCAAACAAAAGCAGTTTTCTAGACGGTCTGAGCTGATTTCTGTGTCTCATCTATCGATAATCAAAGTAACTTGAACATGCATGATACATTTTCACTTCTTTAGCTTTTTTGATCCTGGTTAAAGATTAATCATTCTCTTCATTCCAAAATTAATCCTCAATTTCCATAGCTTGAAACAGCCTGAAAGACAAGAAAATTGAATTTTAAACAAGAAAATATTTTCCCAACGCGGTAACAACTCATGCATATATTTCTGTAAAAAGCCCCTGTAGCAGAATCAAGCAGCAAAACTAAAAAAAAATAGTTTTCAAAACTGGATTTTTTTTCACAACTATGGAGATTTGTAATATCAGAAACTAATGAACATGCTATGTTTTAAGACAGTATTCCTCTCTATTTTCAGTAAAGAGAAGAACAAACTTAGTAGTACTCAGGCCATAACTTATTAAGAAAAAAATTAACATTAAAAGATCTGCAATAATGCATTCCAACTGACTTTCTCAGGACTTAACCACTACTTCTACATACGCTCAATATACTTTGATTGTTTATAACAATAGAGACACATTGTTTGGATTTGTTCCTAGAAAAATTGGTACTCTTAAATAACATACAATATACTTTTTATTTTCAAGCAAGCACTGATATCTATTGCATTCTTTTGAGGCTGTTTTTCACACTTGAAGCCTCTGGCTGTTTTTGCTTGAAGCCTCCAGAGTGTGAAAAACCAGCCCTATTGGCAAACCGGAAGTTCGGCAACGGACTTCCGGGTCCCCGTAGGTCTGTTTTTCGCTCTCTGGAGCCTTCAGGAGGCTTCCCTGAAGGCTCCGGAGGGCAAAAAATGGCCATACAAGCAAACCAGAAATCACTTCTGGTTTGCTTGTACGCTATGGAATTTGGCTTCAGCATTAACTTTTGGCACAAATTTAAATATTACAGTACTATTTAAGATTTGATTAAATATTACATTTTGGTAGGAAATCTGTTGCGATGCTAATGAAAGTATATTGTATTCTGCATCTTGCTAAGCCATACTTTAATCATAGTTATTAAAGTTAGCTGGGTTTACTCTTGTTTGGTTTATTTACCCTAAGTAAATAAACCAAACAAGTCACATTATGGATTAGTACAATGTATGAATCCAGTCTTATTGCACATATTATTTTCCAATAAAAAGTCCCATAACAAATTTCAAAGCAGTCAAAATAGTTTTAGCAATTTTGAATTTTTCAATATCATTGCCTCTTGCAGACAAAAAGGTACACGTGTCAAAGGTTTTTGTGTTGTACACAATTGTTCAGCCAGCTCTTTAACCAGCTTGTGGAATAAGCTCCACATTAAACTGTTCAATTTATTAACCTATTGCAGCGTTTTTCAAATTTAGCGACTTTTAATATGAGTGGATTTCAATTACTAGAATTCCCCAGCCAGGATGTTGAAGTCCACACATCTTAAAATTACCAAATTTGAAAGACGTTGACCTATTGTTTTGCTTACTTTGTAGTAAGAGATCCCAAAGTCTTCTAGAATGCAAACTCTATTAACCGCTGTAAACTTAGACCTATAGTGAAATTCCGCTTTTATTTCAGTAGAGAAAAAAGTTACTTACAAGTTAAAACATGGTGAGCCTGGATCACTAAAGTGCTGGTATGGATTTATCCTGGATAAAACACCCATACAAAGCCAACAGAAATATTGCATGCAAGCAGTGCACCTCATCCTGTTACAGCCATTTAACTTCTGGGGAAAAAGAAAGGAAAAAGACAATTTGACTTAAAATCTGTACAATCCACTATATTTTGCTAAATGGAAAATAAAAGATGCAGAGGCTACTCACTTATACTAGCAGTAGCAAATGCTGTCTTCACTGTTATAAAAAAGAGAATTCTGCCTGTCTTTTCTAAATAGCTGAAGCACTAAATGGGATTTTTACCTACAGGTGATCCTTGACTTACAACCACAGTTGAGCCCAAAATTTTTGTTGCAAGGCGAGACAGCTGTTTAATGAGTTTTATTCCATCTTACAAACGTTCTTGCTAAAGGTTGTTAAAGTGAATCACTGCAATTATTAAATTAGTGAAATGGTTGTCAAGTGACTCTGGCTTCCTGGCCGATTTTGCAAAAGTTGATCACATGACCTCAAGAAACTGCAATTGTCATGAGTCAGTATTTTGATCAGGTGACCATGGGGATTACTGCAGTGGTCATAAGTGTGAAAAACGGTCATAAGTCACTTTTTTCAGTGCCAGTATAACTTTGAATGGTCACTAAATGTACTGTTGTAAGTTGAGGACTCCCTGTATGGTACTTCATAGTATTGCCAAAGTAGAGCTTCAGAAACAAAAGAAAAAAAATCCATTGTCAACAGTCCTCTAGGAAGCATATCAACAGAAATTACATAAACTGATATAGGCACTTTCAGGTGTGTGTGTGTGAAAGGGGGAGGAGAGAGACTGAAAAACAGATGTCAGACTTATTTGTATCATCTGCCTCCACATGGCTTTTTCTGCAGCTTCCAAACCGAGTTTTCTGGCAGTGGCCGCTCTGGGTGTACGCTCTATGGTTGTGGGCCAACACAACCAAAATTTACTGTGGAGATGATCCCAGCCTACAGTCAGGATTGGACTGAGCTGATAGTTTAAAAAATGGCCGTCCACAGCAATTCAAAGCTAGACCACAATTCTTGCTCCTAAAAAGGTAAACATCTTTTGAGTGTCCAGAACATTTTTCAGTCACGTACTTCTTTGCTATGATCTTACCTCAATAGGTGTTGCACAGCAAGGACATGATTTGGAATTGTTTTCTAGCCATTTTTTACTTTCCATCTCCTCTAAAGCCTTTTGAATAACTCTTTTGCCATAGCGTTGCTCCAAAAATCGTTTTGTGGCTTCGTCTGCTTGAAGATATTCATTGCGTAAATCTGCTAGCTTCTCTGCATTAAGAACAGAAAATGGCATAAAGTTGTACAAACTGGCCGCCCAGAGCTTCGGCGCAGCTCCACACCATGGAAAATATAAATGCGCTCCCCACCCCCCTACAATTACAGCCTCAGAGACTTCGTAACGGTGGGAACTTGTTCTCACTCACTTCTGCAGAAGCCTCCCCCCGAAGCCGTCCGAGGGAGGAAGCGCCAGTTGGGAGAGGGGCTTTGGTCTGCTCCAGGCTAGAATTGTACAGGGTGTGCACGGGCCTATGTTTTCCATGGCATGGAGCTGTAGTTGGAAGGCGAGGAACCTGCAGGGCCCTGTCCTTCGGAAGAGGATCTGTCCCGAAGAGGGCAGATGTGGTGGCATCGGTCTTGGGATGTTCTGCGGAGCCCCCCATGGAAAAACGCTGCACAGATGGCTTTTTAACCAGGCAGCTGTCAGAGAGAAGATGGCAGCGTGCGCCTGTGTCTTAGATGACCCCTGTGAAAGGGTCGTTCGACCCCCAAAGGGGTCGCAACCCACAGGTTGAGAACCGCTGTTCTAGAGGATGTCTGACCTGCTACTTCAATATGTTTTAATCAATAGAACACTTCCTGTGTGAATACCATGGCTAATAAAGTGGCTTTTATGAGCCAAATTTCGGATCCAAGCCAGCATTTCTCCAGAACAAAGGGGAGATGGTTGAGACTCATGACTTCATCAAGACAGTTCATGAGCAAACTGCCATTTTTAGTCGTCCTATGAGTGGAATGGCAGGGTGTCGGGATTACATTAAGCCCATTAATGTAATCCTGACTGCTTTGCATAATCAAAAAAATAATCACATATTTTAAAAACTTACAATAAAATTTATACCATTCTTTATGCAGCAAAAGGGAGCTTCTGTATATGGATTGTGAAAAGTTAACAAGGGTTTTAATGGGCCAGAGGAATTTGGAAGTATGGTTTTAAATTATTTAGAAGAATTTATGGGAAAATATCAATTGCTTTGGGGTTTTTTATAATAAGGCTACCCTGATGGTTGAACATTAGTGTCAGAGGATAAAATAAAATGGAGGAGAAATCCTTAGTGCAAACTTTTGAATACCTTTGAGCCAAACCTTTGGAAAGGAAGGATCAAACATTTGATAAAATTGACAGATGATATTCTAATAAAGTTTAGGTTTAGGTTTCATTTTATTTATATGCCGCCCTATTCCCAACGGGACTCAGGGTGGCTCACAAACCCAAGGGGGGGGGGGAAAGAAACACAAAAACTACAGATACAAGCATTTAAAAGTAACCAACAGACACACAAATCGAGAGGGGAAGGAAACTCATCAACCCCAGGCCTGCCGACACAGCCAGGTTTTAACGGCTTTTCGGAAGGCCTGGAGAGAGGTGAGGGTCCGAATCGCTGTGGGGAGTTCGTTCCAGAGGGCCGGAGCTGCCACAGAGAAGGCCCTCCCCCGGGTAGTAGCCAGATGGCATTGGCTGGTAGACGGAACCCGGAGGAGGCCTAATTTGTGTGATCTAATGGGTCTGTGGGAGGTAATTGGCAGCAGGCGGTCTCTCAAGTACCCAGGAACCTTGGAGGTCTTCTAGTCCAGCCCCCTGCCTAGGCAGG